GAATAATGCACTTTAGCGCCATCTAGGATTGAGTTATTCAGCTATAAAAATGATTGATTCCCCATATCAATTTTTATCACTTATTTAACACCATTTAAATCACAATTTTCAATATTTTAATGGTTATTCTGCTATTCGGGGCGGAAACGAATCCAATAAATCGTAAATCATCAAAATCTGTCCCGTCGTTCATAAGTTATCGGTGTTGTAACTAACGCAACTTGGTTCCAATGGAATAAGGAGTATGGAAACCAACACGACAAAAAAATCATTTTTTTACTTATTTTATTAATAATTTTGAGTTTCTTATTTAATAAACTAAAATTGTCCGTACGTAATATACAATAAACAAATTTATTCTACAAAATTAGTATTTTTTGATAAAACATATCCAAAAATATTAAAATAAGGAAAACATGTAACATAATAATAATTTAATTTTTTCGACATTCAATCATATAAAACGCTGTTGCTTTGATAAATAGCAATAAAATTAAAGAAAACAAAATTTAAACGAGTCGATATTTTATTAACCAAAATATAAGCTTATAATGTAGGTTATTCATTCGTCAGGGTTATAAATTCGAGCATTGAAATACCTTGGAAAATGTGTAGGAAATGTAAAGTAGGCTGCCCCCACAACGCCCAAAAAAGATGAAGGCGAAGAGCGTGGTGCGATAAATAAGCAAAATATTTCGCCGTCGCTTTAAATTGAACGAAATACGCGCGCGCACTTATTTTTCATTTGGCCCGCGCACGCAATTCGGAATCAAATCGCAATCATCATCGTCATCATCATCGCGCTCCGCATTTCAATAAACGAATAAACGCACTCGGCCAATTTTAATAAGCGCGGCGTCCCCTAAAAACGTCGCACGTAACCCAACAACCCAACAACTCAACATCCAGGTGTGGGTTGAGCATAATTGAACATATTTTCCTTTATTACGTTTCACTGAGTAAAGTTATGGCTGTGTAATGAAGTCGGAAATTGAATATTCGTTAAAATCACAAAACGCAGAATGAAATATAAACTTTTTAATTAATTGCTTAATTACAAACTATTTACTTGAAGTTATAGATGGCGTTGGCTGTAATGTTTTATGTTCTATTCGAGAGTTGAAATCGATGAATCGATTAGACGTGTTGGCAAAATTTGCTCATCATCAGCACAAATCCAAGACGAAGAAGGGAAAAATTAGAAGGTCAGCAAATAAAACTAATAAGCGAAGTCAATCTCCTGGAATTGATTGGCGCGCCGCACACAGCCTTCATCCTCCTACGCCTGATAACCTTACTTTGCATAAAAGCGCGCGTCCGCGCGAACAATAGAAAAACGCCTAAATATAAATTTTACGCTCGTTTCATAATGGAAACTAATTTTCACTCAAAAAACATTATTGTATAGTTGTATATTAATATCTCAGTAATATAAAAAAGATTCGAAAAATCTGTTGGTAAGCGCATAACTCAACAAGGCCTAGACCAATTTGGCCAATTCTTTTTTTAAATGTTTGTTAAAGTCCAAGGATGGTTTTTACGGCGAGAAAAATTCGAATAATTTCCGGGAAAACCCTAAAAACCGCCTTTTTCTATAGGATAAATGTTGGCATTGAGATTCAATCATAGTTATAGTTCAATAGTTGAATCCGAGATGGCGCGCTGAAGTGCATTATTAGCAATTCTTTATATAATTAATTTTTTTAAAATAAAATTGCGAATCTTATTGATAGAATTGACACATACTATGTCTAGAACAAGAGAGTAAAAACGAATTACATTTTTATTAAACACTACCGGGACGAAGTCGCGGGCAAAATCTAGTAATATTATATATCTTATGCAACCAACTATACAAATCTTATTTCATGTACCATCAAACATGAAACGCGAGATGAGTTTAAACCGTTTGTGCTCTCTGGCTTTGCATTACACTGCAGGTGCTCGCTGCGTTTAATTTCAAATTAATTAATTCCGCCATGTTGTTAAAGGTCTTGTAAGCGTGTGAATTCAATTGGTTTAAATGTCATCAGGCGTGAACGCGTGAAGCATTAATATAACACAATATTAGGCATGAATAATCCGATGCTAGATGGCGGACCTTTTTGATGCCTAACCTAGTTTTGGCGTATGACTAAATAATTTCTTTGTTATAGGCAGCGTAATGAACATGAGCGGAAGGACAATTAAAAGGACTTTGTGTCGAAAAGTGTCTGTGACACTGCGACTCGGCGGACAACTATTACAATCACATTATGAGAGCATTATCAAGCACTCTGTGTGCTCGACCACTTTGGCAGCGAGTTGAGCAAGCTCGACACGGAGCCTAATTGGTGGCAAGGAGCTTTTCCGGCGGAGGACAATTTGATTATAAAGATCGTCCATCGTCCAAAGTGCAAAAAATAGAAAATATGTAGAAAAATACTTAAAATTCATTAATAATTAATTTAAAACTTAAAGAATTTTTACTTTCTTGTTTCTTGGTTTCTTCGTCCCGGAAGTGTTTAATAAAAATGTAATTCGTTTTTACTCTCTTGTTCTAGACATAGTATGTGTCAATTCTATCAATAAGATTTGCAATTTGATTTTAAAGAAATTAATTATATAAAGAATTGCTAATAATGCACTTCAGTGTGCCATCTCGGATTTAACTATTTAACTATAACTATGATTGAATCTCAATGCCAACTTTTATCCCATAGAAAAAAGCGGTCTTTAGGGTTTTCCCGGCAATTTTTCGAATTTTTCTTGCCGTAAAAACCATCCTTGGACTCTAACAAACATTTAGCAGTTATGCGCTTACGAACAGATTTTGCCATTCATTTTATATTATAAAATTTCATATTGTTTAATTCACATTTTCCGACATTTTCGTATTTATTCTGCTATTCAGAGCGGCAATGAATGCAACAAATAATAAATCATTAAAATCTGTCCATTCATTGTTGAGTTATAAATACTGTAACTAACACGACTTTCCTTTATATATTTATTTATAGATTTATGATGATATTTTAAACCATAGAATTTCAATTTTATCAGTGAAGTAGACTGATTGCGTAGTGCTGTGCACTGGTGATGTAATTTTATCAATCAATGTAAAGACGATGATACGACGCCCTGATGATAGCGATTTGTCATGAAATAGAAGTCGAATGCCTGGAAAAATAAATTTTCAACATTCACTAGAATACTGTAATAAAACATATATTTTACTAGGTGTAAAACTATACTACAATGTAAACTTTTTGTTTTAATATAGATTTCCTGGTATATTTTGTATGAAAATTGTGTTTGTCCAATCTATAAACATGTTTGCACGTATATTTTTACATATATATGATCCCAAACTAAACATCATAAGACTCAAGACTCAAAGTTGGCTACTAGTCACTGGTCGCCCAGAGTCGTTTTCTAAGCGGGCTTTGCCTGTTTTGTAGGCCAAACGAATTCATCGCATCTGCTCAAGCAACCAGTGGCGTAGCTACCATAAAACATAAATATGCAATGCGTTGGTGATCAATAAGCAATAAGGTGGTTCATTCTGTATCAGTTAACATGTTCATTAAATATATTTCTAGATGACATTTTCAAGTATCAGCCTCAGGGATGTACATAACAGGGCACTACCATGATAACCAAAATCAGGTTATGTTCAATTTATGGAATATTTGGGAGGTTTTACCTTTAAAAATGGTCACACTTTACACCTGAAGATGGAAATAAGTAACGATGAGTATCCGAAAGAGAATCCCCTGCAACCCAAGAACAAAAGATGCAGTGTTGGTAAGCGGGTATCAGAAAACCTCTCGATTGACCAGCAAGTAGCTAGTTCCAAGGGAACGCCGTCAGAGAGTGGAGTCAAATGACTCTCTGCAGCATTAAGAAATGTGACCAGGAAGCGATGAAAGGAAAAATAGTGAAGGAGATCTGGAGATGCCGGGGAAAATCCAAAATACGAAAGAGTTTTGCACCAATTTATAACTTTTTTTTCTATATAAAAGTAAAAGAATGTCAAAAACTGTCGTTGATATATGCTGCTACGCCACTGCAAGTAACTTTCGTGTTTCGTCACAAAGCAGCTTGAAAAGCACAAACACACGCTGCCAGCTTGATGGAAACACACAGACGCAGCGCACAGAAAGAAATATTGAACATGCTCAAAGTGCTCGATGAAGATAAAGTCAGTTTTTCGTCTTTGCGTTTTCCACTCTCTTTGTGCACGACGTTTCTTTGCTTTTCTTGATATTCCATTGCATTTACAAACTAAAAAGATAAGTTAATCTCATTCTATGATCTAAACATTAATAAAACATATTTCCATCGGCAGTAATGAATTAATCCATGATAAATATATTTTGATACAAAATGAGCCTGTATGCGAAAAGCAAGCTAATCGCGTAATAACGTCAATGACACTAACGAGCGTATTTAATAACAATCGAATTGTCGACCGGGCCAGAGCGGATTGTTATCGCATTGGCGACGACAGGAGCATGAGGGGCATGCGACGGTGATTGAATAATGCAGGCAACTTGTTGAAACTCGTCGACAATCTAATTGGCGTCTTTCGACCGCTTCGATTGCCTTCAATTCGAGCTAATTGACAATCGTCTATAATGTAATTACACGACGAGCCGAACCCTTCCCATTTCAACTTGTACTTAATTGTTCATCCTGTATTACATGACCAACTTTAAATCACGAAAAATTAACCTATAAAACCGTCAAAAGTTGTAAAATATTCACATCACAATCAAGACTCTTTTCAGGAGAAAGCAAAGTTTAAAAATAAATTTTCTCAAGACGCGAGTGCCTAAAAAGGAAGCGTATTCATTAGAAAAACAGCTCGCAATTAATTTACGAACGAAAAAATTGCATGTAATTAATGTGGGCTGCGTAGCGCGGCGCGTGCGTTGTGACGGCGGATCGGTGGTGGCGGTCGTGGAGGCGGCAACCAGTCGCTGCATTCACGCGTCGCTCGCGAGTCGGCGGCAAACTACCGAACCGACAATATCTAACGGATAACATGTAATGAAAAAACGCGCAATCGTCGCGAGTTAAAATTTCAAAAAATACAAAATAAAAAGTGAAATTAAATAATATCAAAAATGTGAGTGTAATTAATAACATCAAATCATGTCTGAATTAAATGAGGAGGTGTTAAATGCATCAGTAGTTGATAATCAGAAGGAACAATTTGAAAGTTTCGCGCATTTTGGTAAATTTGCAACTTTTGGTGGAGGCGCCTCAAACTTTTCGGACTTGACGCGCGTGACAATCTATAAAAATGTGTATCGGAACGAAAGTGCGTTTGCGTTCGCGCCGACGGTTGTGCACCTCGACGACAAGGAAAACCCCGAAGAGTTTAACAACTGGTGGGCCTTACTTGCGTTAGTGTTAGTCATCGGCACGGCAGCCGGAAATATCCTCGTCTGCTTGGCTATCACTTGGGAGCGACGCCTGCAGAACGTCACGAATTATTTTCTCATGTCATTGGCCATCACTGATCTAATGGTGGCAATTTTGGTGATGCCACTTGGGATATTAACGTTAGTACGAGGTGAGATTTTGTGCTATCAAAAGTCACTCTAGAGATAACCGGATTTCACACATCAACAAATTCTCTATGCTATGGTCAGGCTAATTAATTCGATAAAGTGCGTTATGAGCTTGATTTCATAGCCTAGCCGACCGCAGGGCGGGAAATTTATGCGTTGTGATATGTCACGAATCGTTGCCACGTGAATTCGCACATTTGAGAACGTTATCGGCCCGTTTCCGACTCATCCACTCGTTCAGAAACGTGAAAAGTCACGTAACACAAAAATGAAAATAAACATATATTAACGCGGTGTGCAAACAAATTGCACAACGGAAATATGTTTTTGTTACGCAACTTATTTATTTTATAATCCATAACTGCTACGCGAGCAGCGGAGAGAAAAAAAAGCGCTTAATAAGCAGAAAAGTGAAAGGAGAAATTCTATTTTGACCTAACCTGTCAGTGTTCGACGTGATTGATCTAAATTCGTCACAATATTGAGCTTTTATAAGTCTTGTCTGAGACTCAACTCTGAAAATAACGTATTTCCTAATTTATTTTCCCTCGAACCCTTAGGACCCCAAAATGCGGATTTTCCGTCCCACGCAAAATCGAAAATTATATTTATTTAGAAAATAATAACATATTCATGCTTATAAATTCGTTAAAACGTTCATTAGAGATGATAATTTATACAATTAATAAGTATTATTATAACAGGTGTATAAATTATATATAAAACAAAGTCGTGTTAGTTATAGCATGCATAACTCAAGAACGGTTGGACAGATTTTGAGAATCTATGATTAGTTAGATTCGTTTCCTCTTAAAATAGAAGAATAACTATTAAAATATTGAAAATTATGGCTTGAAAGATGTTAAAAAGAGAAACGAAAATTGGGTATAGTGATTCAATGGTAGTTATAGTTAAATAACTGTTTTCTAGATGGCGCTAAAGTCACTATTTGCATTTATAATTTTCTTTAAAATAAAATTGCGAATCTTATTGATTAAATCGACATATATTTAGTCTTGAATAAAAAAATAAAAATTAAAACATCTACAGATTTTCTGCGTCTGGCAAAAGTCGAAAATTATATTTATTTAGAAAATAATAACCAATTCATGCTTATAAATTAGTTAAAAACATTCATTTGAGATGTTAATTTATACAATTAATGAGTATTATTACAGGTGCATGAAAATACACGTTATTTTAATTAATTGCGTTAAATTTACATAAAATCAAAAACAATTGTATTTCAGGCACTAATGCCATCTAGCGGTGAGAAAATAAATCAAAAGTCATCTGGTTATGAATAGCCGCAATTAATTTCGGCAAAATTTTAATGAAGTTGTAACCTGAATGAAACAAAAAGCTATTAGTGTTCAATTATAGCATTCGGTGGACACAGGTGGTTGGGGCTGTACCATGGGTAGCAATATAGCCAGAATGCCGAAATTGGAAACCTGCTCGAAAATATCTGTTCGCACGTGACCGCCAGGAGCCCGCAGGGAGAAATTTGAAACGAGCGTACGCATCATTCCCCATCCAGCCGCCTCCGCCTGCTGGGGTGGAGGACAAAAACTAATTATACACTCGACGAGTCTAACAATGGCTCGTCGATTGCGAAAAATCGCCAATTCGGCAATTAAAACCACGCAGCACGCTCGTTACGCAAATACTACCTCACTGAATATAGATAGACATGTGTTGTCACTCGGGGAAATTTTAGAATCTATGAATTTTTATACGGAACAATGTTGTGTTAGTTAGAGCATTTATAACTCAAGAACGGCTGGACAGATTTTGTTTATCAATGATTTATTGGATTCGTCTTGGACCCGAATGGCAGAATATCTATTAAAATGTAAAAAATTATGTCATAAAGGGTGTTAAATATGGGTTTAAAGTTGGTATAGAGATTAAATCATAGATGTAGTTAAATAATTGTATCATAGATGGCGCTAAAGTGCATTATTAGAATTCCTTTAAAATAAAATTGCAAATAATTAATTTCTCAAGTAATAAATTTTTGTTAAATGTCCGATGGAAATAAAATAAGTTTTTGTCTTCCCGAAAGCAATATTCGACAATTTGATGCATTGGCGATATTTACCACCACCGATATTTACCACATCATGATCGTCCATCCGAATCGCCGCTTTGTCCCCTAAAATGTCTCCCGAAACGGTCATTTTTTATGTTCGGCGCATCCGTAGCGGAAAAATAACTACACGTTGCATTCATACGTTCGATAGTCGTCGAAAACTTTCGGCGAATGGCTGCCGAGGTGGATTTTACTACGCACGATCAAATTTTACGACGTTTCTGATTGAATTCCAAAACCATGCGGCCAAAAATGAAAGTCTTTAGACGTAATAAACTAATAAAGAATCGAGGGATATTGCCAAATCGTCATCTTCGATCGTTATCGTCATATTTACGACGAAATGCACCATTTTTCTTTTTAAATCCACCAAAGGAAAAAATCTTTTTTTTTTCCTAATATACAGTGAGTATATTATTTATGGTGCTTCATTCATGTGCTGACAGTCATTATATAATCAATATTTCATCAAACTAGTTTTGATATTAACATACATTCATTCATACATACGTGTTTAGTCGATCAGAACTTTTCCGACGACGAAAGCTGCATCAAACATATGTATTCGGTTCGAAAGAGTCGCATTTGAAATATTTATTGATCACCTCGCCGCATTGAACGTCATAAATTTTTAAGTTTACCAGCGTCATTCAGATTATATAGATATAAATCATTTCAAGTACGTTGCAGCGCCATCTGGTGTATAATAGTTAAAAATTTACGGCGTCTTTTCTTTAAAAAATATTTTTTTGTTTTTTTTTTGACTCTGTGTAGTAAAATTACCATCGCTTAACTTTCAATTTTTCTCCCGCTTTGTTTCACATTTCTTTGTTTGCGCCTTTCTCGCATTCAGCTCCGAAACAATTATAATGCATCGCCGTCGATTTTCGGTCCGCTTTACAGCGAAACGCTTACTTGAGCACGAAAACGCTCCATCGCGAATGTGCACTGCAGCGTCCTTCGGGGCTTCATTTATCTCCGTTTCGCAAAAGACTCAACCTTCAAACTATCACACGCGTGCGCTGGCGAATGTGTAGAGATGAGTGTGGAAAGTGAAGAGTATTCGAAATACGACAAATTGAACTACACCGCAATGTATATACGAGGATTTGTAGTAGCGGTTGAGGATAAAAAGTGCCAAAAATGCAAAAGTTATAAACTTGAGGCGCAAAAACTGAAGAAGCGGTACTCAAGTGTAAAGATTTGACGTATTCGAATTTGCAGCATTCGGACAGATGAGCTCTTGTATCGAGTTTTGAAGATTCTGCCTCGCCAAGAGTTGGAAATCAGAAAAGTTTTATTCTCTCGACACTCGACCGAAAAGTTGATTTGGTCACGGCTGCAACCCACTACACACATTTATATTTCAATATAGATTTACATACATTTACTGTGTGGAATATAGATGTCGCTACATATTTGATTTGACATCTGTCAAAATATTATTTTTTTATATTTTAAAAATTGAATTACTTGTACAGTGTGAATGTAAATATTTAGTACCTGTTGATTTTATTGGTGAACAAAAAAAATACATCAAAAGATTTCGCTCGCCGTGAAATTAACATAATTGCTCAAGTGCAAACAGCGTCTGCCTGCTGGCCTTTGGAAAAGTTTGCATCCTGCTGCCGAATATTTACATAAAATTTATATCGACGCTTAATATACGCGATCGGCGATCGTTTGCCGGAACTGTTTGGCGTCAGAGTCGGCGTCGAAATCAATAATAAACGCGCTGCGGGATAGCAAAACTTTTTCAAACGCTTTTCATTTTGCATTGCGCGCGCGCTTTCACACACCAAATGCACAATTCGCTCAACTCGTGGCAAACGTTTTTTCAATTTAGGTTCGCGTAACAAATTGCCGATTGGTTTTTAGTGCTATTCGTGATAATACTCGTAAATATGAATTGGTGAAAATTATTTTTCAACTAATATTTCAATATAAAAAAGCAATAAAATATTTTTTTTTATTTCCATCTATAAAGCGCTTGTTTTTTCACGGTTTTTAGATACAAAAAGTGGTACTTTATATACAGACGGCCAAGCCGTACATAATATTCATGATGTACTTGCATTATGCACGGGACGGAGCAAGCGCCTGCGCATTTGCCTACAGAGTAGCACAAGGCGGTATGAAATACCATGCGACGTCAGTCAAACACGTCAAAGGAGGCGCTGCTGCTGCTCGTATCGGAGGAGCACGATATGAACCGAAGCGTCACAAGGGCCGGCGCGCGGCATGGCACTTATAACCTTACAGTTTGTATAAGTGTGCAAGTAAATTTCGAGGATTTAAAATACAAAAGTTGAAATACAAAAACCGCAACATGGAACTAGAGTGGAAGTAGAAAAAGTAGCGTAAGCACCTCGTGGCTAAACGTTGTAATGCCCTCGTTTAGACACTTGTTACTTAATATAAAACTTGGAAATTTGCTCTGAATATCCTTTAATTTCTCTTTCTAATGATGCTTTATTGAATATTTTCTGACCGTAAAATTACGAGTTACGACGATGGAAAGTTGTACAACTTTTGGAAACCGCCGAAAAAACGGCATTCAAGCCAAAAAGTTGATAATCCGAGTTGAAACAAGCTTGTTAATGCAGTATGAGGTTAGAATTTGTGGGTTAATTACTCGCCGGCAAAGCCATCGCTGACTCAACTCGCAGCCCTCATCCCTTCGAACATGGATGAGCACTGACGAGCCAGGGATCAGCTCAATTAGACGTGTGCACACGCGAATTCACATCATGCGAGCTCAGACACAAGATGCGCGCCCGAGAAATGCGAATTACCCGAATTACAGCCAACTATGTACAATGCGCAACATTCGCAACATTTGCCGCATTTACGACAATTAACCGTGAAAGATTCGCGGCATTTACCGAATTAAATATACGGTAATGA